TGACTGCATCAGCAACGATCCGCTTTCCAAGGCATGGTGCATGAGAGCAAGCCCTGGTCTTGTCAATCGAAGTAACACTAGTACCCATGTCCACCCAACTTTTCCTTACTTCTAGAAAGAAAAAGGAGTCGGCACAATGTACAAGGAGGAACTAGACCCAAATGAGAGGGAGGAAAATGAAGAGAGTCCCCTTCACTTGGAGTGGAAGGTTCAGACTAGTGTCCTGGATGTTAATTTCCTTTTTGATTTGAAAAGCAACCAGCAACTGAAGAAAAGCTGGAGGAATGCACAATCTCACTAGCAGCACTGCAACAGGTAAGCTTCCTTTCTTTTGGTAATCAAAAGGAGGTTTGACTTTTTCCTTAAAGTTCTCCAAAAATCATCGGAAGAGTTCTTGCATAGAAGGGTGAAGGCATTCTTCTGCCCCATCCGCAGACACAATCGAAAGATAACGTTTGTTTCAAAATACTTTTCTCTTGGCTTACAGTTTTTCAGGGTTTCCAGAATCGTCCCTTACTGTCCCTGGCACATAATATCTTCATGTCAGTTCAGATGTACTGGGGGACTTTTAGATGCAGGAATTGGAAATTAGGAAGTTATTTGTAAGTGCACTCTTCCAGGCATTGGAAATGGCCAGAAGGGAGGTAGCTAAAATGTTCTGAAGTTGCAACATCAATTGGGGCTAGGAGCACAAAGAAAAATATGTATAGCATTGTAATTAAAAAAAAAAAAAGCCATTATGTCAACGCAGGACAGGACACACTATTTCCGTAAGGCAAGTTGAACTCAATCAAACCAAGTTCACTGCCATTGAGTCGATGACAACTCATGGCAACTCTATAGGACAGGGTAGAACTGCCTCTGTGAGTTTCCAAGACTGTAACTCTTTGCAAGAGTAGGAAGCTCTGTTTGAAGGGCCTTGGAGGAACTCGTGGTTTCAAACTGCTGACCTTGCAGTTAGCAGCACATGGTATATTCAACGATGCCACCAGAGCTCCTAAGTTGAATTTAAGGTTCTGTTTATTAGTGCCCCTCTCGTGATTACACCCGATGCAGAGGACGAAAGCGTTGAACAGGCATAGCATGATGAGCAGATCAACAGTGTCTAAGGAAGCCCGCGCGGCATGGCTGCACACTCGTGCTGTTGTCAGCGGTCACCAAGCCACTCCAGCTCACCGGGGCCCCAGTGTTACCGCGTAGAACTGTTGCATAGAGTTGTTGGGGCTGATTGGAAACAGATTACCTGGCCTATTTGGATGTGTTTTTTTTAATCGCTGGGTAGGTTCAAACCACTGACCTTTAGGTTAGCAGTCAGTAGAAGCTGTTTTTGCCACCTGGCTCTGGTGGTATAGTTGGTTAATTGTTGGGCTGCTAACTACAAGGTCAATGGTTCACACTTACCAGCTGCTCCACAGGAGAAAGGTGAGGCAATCTACTCCTGTAAAAATATGCAGTTTCTGAAACGCACAGGGGGCAGTGGCTATGCATCTGAATTGAATCCCTGGCCTTGAGTTGGGCTTGCAAGTGAAACTTAATCTCTGGCTGCTCTCCAGGTCCCAGGAAGCCTGGCTGTGAACTCGTTGACCCCAAAGCAAGCCCAGCCCCATCAATGCCTGTGTACGGTCTTCCTGAGGCAGAACGGAGCATTCCATTACAGCGGGGTGGACTCAAGCTTCCTCCGGGCACCCCCTATGCCCACACCCTTTTTTTGTTGGGCTCCTCCCTGGAGACTGAGTATAATACAGAGTAAGAAGCAAAATGGAAACCCAGCACTATATCTACATCACGATGAAAAACAAGGCCATATGGGCAGAAGATTTGGAACCTCCAGAGACCTCACACTGACAATAGAACTAAATCTTCCTTCTGTTGTTTCTTAGATTTGGAGCAGGAAAAAAAAAATCTACCTAGTATGTTCATGTATATGCTATTTTCAGTAAGGAATAGATAAACTACAACCAATCTGCCCATTTTACTAGAATGTTAAAAAGGGTAAGTGATTACATAAACTGTGTGTCTCTTGGAATAGTAGTACCTGGCGATCCTAAGTAAAAAACATCTCAAAAGCTAAAAAGGGAAAAGGAAGAAGAAAAGTGCTCTTGGATATATATTCTATTATTCTGTAACATGAATATGGTAGTTACATAATCTAGTGTCAATTTGGGACTTGAGAGAATTAAAAGTGAGGGGGTGGAGTCTACTCTGTCAGTCGGGTTGGTCATAGCCAGTAAGGCCTCTGTGTGGGCATGGCCTTCTCCTGAGAATTCTGGGAACTCAGATTTTCCTCCTTGGAGATGGGAGATACTTCTCTCTCTCTGCACACTCCTTGAGAGACACTCTACTGACAGGACAGATGTCACTACGCTGATAGACCCCGTGCCCTGGGAACTGGAGGAGCCATGTGGAGACTCCTGCCAGTGCTGAGATGCTGCCACTGCCACTGGATCCACAAGACTTTGCACCCATTGGTTTGTGATCGTCCTGCACTCGGCGCTATTGCATGCATTTCTTGAGTCTGAAGAGGACTTTATAGATTGATATTGGACTTATGGGCAAATGTTGGACTTACGGTCTTGATCTGGGCCGGACTGGGACTTTTCTCAATATTCAATGGCTACTGTATATAAACCTCTTTCTTATATATATATGAGTGTTTCTCTCGTCTACCCAGATTAACACAATGAATATTATTAGATAAAACATTTGAAAGGATTAAGAAGAGGCAGCAACTTTCAAATTAGAATGAAATTTTCTTTGAAGAGACACTATTTCAGCTTAAAGCATAAGACATGCTTTCTTTCTTTTTTAAAAAAATACTTTTATTAGGGGCTCTTACATCTATTATTACAATCCATACATTCCTCCAATGTGTCAAGCACATTTGCACATATGCCGCCATCATCATTTTCAAAGCATTCTCTTCCCACTTGAGCCCCTGATATCAGCTCCCCATTTCTTCCCCCTCCCTCCCC